ATCAGCGACGAGGGATGTCGTCTCTGTGGTTTGACGAAACCGAAGGGACGAAGGAAATGGTGGAGTATCGCGAGCAGCAGCAACAAAGAAGTCAGGATCCTCGGTGGGTTTGCTCGACGGAAGGGAAGAGGAGGGTACGAGGGGTGATCGTCGGTCTCAGTGGGTGTTGCGATGAAGCAATCAGTGGTTGGCAGGTGCGTGATTGGGGGCTGCTCCAACAGCCTCCCCTGTTCTTTTTGTTTTCTGTGGTGGTGTTGTGGGAGGCAGCAACAACTCTAATTGCTATTATGTTGTTTTTCTCTTGTGTTATTGTTTTGTTCTTGACTGATTTGAAAGGGAGTATGCAGGTGTTTTGATGGGTTTGAAACATAAGAACTTTCCTATGTGCACATGCAAACCCTAATTGCTTGGATCTAGGTTTCTCTAATTGAACATGCATTATGTATCCAAGACTTACATGGCTAGATCTAATGTAAACTAACAATCAAAACATATGAAAACAGATCTAGAATCATACCTTGAATTACTTGCTTGAAACCTTCTTCTCCTTGGAGCTTAGAGTCACAATTGTCACTCCTCTAATGGCTTACAAACACCAACTAGCAAGAAGATGATTTGAGAGCGGTAAGGAAGAGGAAAATCGGCCCTAGGGTTACTCCAATAACAAAGGTCACGATTTCCACAACCCCAAGGGTCTATTTATACTGTGAGCTCCTAAGGGTTCACCCTAAAACCTTAATTGGATAACTTAGCCTCAAAGCAATCCAATAACCCTCCTAGATAAGCCTTGGATGATTTCTAGGTGATCCACATCCATAAAATCGTCCAACCCATATCCATAAGGATTCTTAGCTCAAAATAAAACTATCACACATTTGACAGTTTATACCCCTTTCTTTAATTAATCTCTTTAAATCACCACATTAATTCCTAATTAATTTATGACTTATATTAATCAAATTAATATCGTTATTCCTTTAACATATTATTCTTATAATACATTAATAACAATAATATATCTTCTCTCTATATAAATCACCTTGTCAAGTTGCTATGGTGAAGGCAACCCAAAAGGACCATGCACAATCAGGTCAAGTACTTACCAAATATAGTTACAGCCTTAGACACTAATCCAACATGTTTGAGTTGAGGCTTGGTCACCGAAACAGGAAGGAACAGAGGTGGAATAGTGGTAGGGTGGTGACGGTGTAAGGTGGTGTTGGGGGAGGCAACAACTCCGGTTGCTGCTGTGTTTTCCAATGAGCAGGGTAGAACCGGGAGAGAGAAATGAGGACTTTGAAGGAGGGGGAGGGGGGAGGAAGAGAGAGAATGGGGAGGGCTCCGGTGGGATTAGTAGAGAAATATATATATATATATATATATATATATATATATTATATAATATATATATATATATATATATATATATATATATTCCTCTTTATGCATTAATATTTACAAAATAAAAATATAAAAAATACAAAAAAGAAATTTAAAATGCAAAATAGTCAATTCAAGTGCTCCATGGACCAAAACTACAAAAAATTCTTAGTTTGGACCAAAAACCTAGAAAATTCTTGATTTCGGACTTTCTGTGCAAGCTGGAAACTTTTTGGACCCCATCCAAAGATTTTTGCAAACCACAAGGATCAAATTTGCAGTTTTGTTTAACTTAAATGTTTTTGATAAGTCACTTCTTACTTAGGGTGTATGAGATTGCTTATTTAAGGTGCTTAGAGACTTATTGCAGCTTAGCATCGAAAATAACGAACTTTTAAGTGTTTGGATAGAAATAATTCATAAGCACTTATTGACTTAAATAATGAGTTTCTTATAAATTACTCATTACTTATTGACTTAGTTAAGGAGTTTTATATAGTTTATTTCCAAATTACACATGTAAGCACTTGTTGCCAAACACTAGAAATTAACTTATCAACTTATTATGTTTTGTTACCAGATAAACTATACCAAACATTTTTTTTATAAAATACCGTTTTCACACCGGATAAACTAATAAGCACTTATATTAAAAAGCATAAGTTGTTTTAAATAAACCAAACATTTTTTTATAAAATTCCGTTTTCACACCGGATAAACTAATAAGCACTTATACTAAAAAGCATAAGTTGTTTAAAATAAGCAATCCCAAACACCCGCTTAGTTATTGACTTATTTAACAAATTTTCTATAAGTTGTTTTATAATTATACATAAAATAAGAATTTGTCAAACACTAAAAATAATTTATCAACTTTCTTTTTTTTGATACCGAATAAACTCATCCAAACAATTTTTCTAAAACTTCGTATACTTAGTATACCAAACGGACCCTACCTCCGATATGATCCTACCTGGTTGTTCCTTGATAGATCATGAAGTAGACTTTGAGTTAATGATGAATCTAGACTAATAATTAGTCGCAATAAAGATTAGACTAAAATTTAGCAATAACAATGCTAGGTTTCATCGAAGGAAATCATATTGTTAAGAAGCGAAGTGCTGCTCGAATTTCGAATCATCACTGTAACAAGTGAGTGCATAGTTACTTTTATCTTAAACATACATATGAAGTATTTAATATAAATTACATGTTATGTGTGCATATTGTCTGTATACTTGCCGTCTATGCTAGGTGATAGATTTTTATACATGTTTTAAATGATTTAAACTGTATATGTATTTTATATCTACAAAATGTGTTGGGTAAAACATGGGTAGATGAAATAGTTGTTGTGTGAAAAAAATAAAATGATAAGAGGTGATATAGACCATGAGATAAGGGTGAGAGGTGAACCATGAGAGAAGCCTTTTACCCAAGTGTTGGCCTCGTCACCTAGTAGAGTATGGATGATAACCACGGACTATTCTAGAAAGTCCAGTGGAACACCAGCAGGCTCGCAACCTATAGGTGTTATTTGAACTGTGTACTCACCAGTTGTACTCTAAAAACCCATTGACATGTATTGCGAGTGGATTCTCGGAAACAATATTGTCGATAGACGAGATAACCCTATCAACTATGGATTTAGTGCCTGTTGAGAAAACCCTGGCAACTATGGATTTAGTGCCTGTTGAGTAAACCCTGACAATGATGGACTTCGTGCATGTTCCTTAGGATGATCCTTAGGAATGAATGAACAAGAAATAGTTAATTCTTATGGTAGATCCTTAAGAGTAAATAAGATAATGGGGATGGGTAATTGGGTTAATTATTTGATGATTAAACATAATAATTATATTATTATGGGTTGAAAACCCTATGTACTCACCAAATTTCCCAACCTGACCCACTTAGTTTATTTATATCACAGATGTTGATATGAAGTCACATTACACTGAGAGATTAAAGAGATATAAATCAGTAGTAATAATGAATGTAAGTTCTGTTTATGCTTATGCATCTGTATTGACGATGACATCCCAAATGTTTTAAAATGAATAAAAATACTTTTCTTCGGAAATGATTTGATAATGTATTTATCATGTTTTACTGGTAACAAATTCCACAACATTTTTATTAAAAGTGGTACTCTGATTTTTATAAAGCATAAACAAAAATCGGTTTTTTCTCGCCGTGAAAATGGGGATGTCACATGGTTAATGACATGTTGCAACTTACACTTAAACACTTGTATCACTCATGTTGTTAGATAGTGGTATATCATATGGTTGTTGATTTTTAAATACATTTACACTCTTTGAAGTTTTGAACAAAGGTGCTTAAAGATTAATAGTTACACAATATACATGTATATATGCATATCCATGTACACTCATACATGTCTATATGCATTTGCATATATGCTTATCTTATAGATTTGTGCCATATACATGTGCATATACACCTGTATATACATATAGAAAGATGGCATGCATAAATACTAATGTGCAAGTACAATATACGTATACATGAACATATATACTTACATTTATACAAGTGCATATCCATGTGTACTTATGTATGTCCATATGCACATGGATATATACATATATGGGCATACATAAGTGCACGTC